GAGTATTTCCTTAAATGGGAAGCTAAGCATATTAAAATGTCCTCTTTTCTAAATGGAGGCGGTGTCAAGGGCACACATACATATGTTAACGATATGTTCCAACACGCATATTGCTGCTCTTGTTAGCGAGTGAAGGAAACCTGTACTACAGCGTAGGCGTTGATTCTAATCGAACGCGATTTGCGCATTGAGCGGCAGCAAAAAATACAACATTTGGAGATGAATGAGTCATAAACACCACAGTGGATTGGGGCTTGTTTAGGACAAAGTAAAATGAATGTGACAAATTTCAGCTATGGTGATTTAAGTGCGATTGGCCATGAGCGAATATGGCGCCATGGTGACGTTTCAAATATACTTGTTTCAAAATGCTGCTTGAACAGCCTTGATAAGACTTCATTAAAACTTTCTAACAACATTTGAGATATTTAGCTCATATATAGCATTGCATAATGTTAGTAAACAACAGGTGCCAGAATATTTGCGGATGGCAAAACAGTGATTGAGTAACGCTGACTGACGCTGAAATGATGCCCAAAACATGTCTAAAACCTCTAAAATTTGTTTGTTGTGTCCACACAACCCCAAAAATTTGTAAGCAATGCCTCAATCATCTGGTTTGTGGAAGGAATTTTCTCACAGGTATGTATAAAATCGTTTTTTGGCCGAACATACGTCCAAGCATGCTAACATGAGCTTTAAAATAGCTTGTCTGTGCCATTTATCCGAATCACACAAAAACCAATTAGACAGTTGCTTAGTGATCATATTACCGGTGTTTGAATTTCTATCACATGTGTTTTTTAATCAACTTACCTGTTGAAATGTAAATGACCAGCTTTCCATCTCGCTTGGAGGTTATTCATCTCACGTAACAACTTTTTGACTGACACAAAGTACAGTAATCGAAAAGAAGGCTAAAATTGAATCCATTTATGCCATTTACTCGCTCTGCCTTGATATGGAAGGGTATGTTTACAAGTGGTAAATCTCAGGCTTCAAATTGTCTTCATGGATGGAAAAAAAAACATCGCAACAATTTTCTAAGCAGTCTGTCAAGGGCCATGAGTGACAATGTCTTGTTGAAAAATGATTTGACAAGTAGCTAGATAATGTTGATGAAAAAGGTCTGATGACAGCTGCTCGTGTTTATTGAAAATTGCTGCATATCTGTACAAAAAAAACATAATAATAATGCTTTGCTCATAAATGATGCGATAATCGGTGAAGCCGTCGGCATGCTGAAAATACGCATGGGGGCGCTAGCTCAAGCGAAAAATGAAATAATACGATGTGCCACGATGACTCTTTGAGACACTTTCTCATCGCCTTTATTTACCATCCATCAGCACTCTTTGGACGTGACAACAACATCAATTAGCCGCCTGCTTAGATACTAACTTATGTGTGGTCAATTATATCCAATTAGGCGACTGTCAAGATCGGTAACTTCCCCTGACATTTAACGCCTAATGCTATCATCAAAACGGTTCAATTATGAAAGCAGCAAGCGGCGGATAGGAAAAGTCGCATCTGAGCACCGTGAGCGAGGGCCGCATGACGGTTATGAGAACAGCGAAAACCTCAATTACTTTATCAGTGGCCTCTGAATACCCCGACTAAAATGTCAAGATCAGAGCGTCGCTCTGCGCTTGAAAGGGGATGCTATCAAAAGGCTTCTCTGTCGCTCCTGTGTTCCACTAAATAACATGACTCTTTCACATCATTGTCCTCCTCCGCGCTCATCTCGGCCTTTAAGTTTTGCTTTCTACAGTGAGCCGCCGACCTCGCCCTATGCGTTCAAAGCATGTAATTGTGGTGAATGTGCTTCATATTAGGTTTCAAACATCTCGCAGACAATGTTTTCTTGCCTCCAGGACAAAAACACTTTTGGTATAATATTACAGCAAAGAAGAGATAAATAGAAGTCTGTTAAAGCAAAACTGTGTTGTAATTTCATAGGAAACCCTTCATTAGATCTGGAATCAAATTTGGGAAGTTGGCTTCAACAGTGAAAAGAGCAGATTTTTTTTCGAAAGCCGGTGGATAATGAAAAGACAAAATATTTTGGTGCTTTCGAGTAAAAATACAAAAATAAATAAACCACAGAAAATTTTAAGATCCATGATTTACTGTGCCCGATGATGATAGTTCGATTTTTATGCAGGTGAGGGGGAGTAGAGACATAATTACATGAGTAAAACCACCTAATTCCTCCCAAGCAATTCAAAAAAAAAACAAAAACATCATCATAAAAAGCTATGAAACCATCTTGTTGCCATCTCATGAAAAACATTTCTCTGAAATGTCTCGAAATCTCTGAAATACTGTGCTTATTTTGAAAAACTATGAAAATTAATAAATACATATATAAGGAATGGTCCAAGCTTTTCTTTACTTGCAAGACAATGGACATTTTCAATGCTGTTTTTTTTTGGGGGGGGGGGTAGATGAAATAATAATTAAAATTGAGAAAAAAAACGAACATAATTGGTGGCAAATTGTTTTGAAAGCAAGGGGCTTCCACTGTTACAAAACCCCAGTCGTCACAATGGCGGATTGCATAGTTAATCATTTGTTTTTAACTGCTTGTATGCTGGTCATCAAAATATATCTACGCGATAAAGTGACTTGCCCGGTGAGTGGTGAAAGTAAAAAAAAAAAAAAAATGCTACTTCTAAATGCTGGCGTGCGTTAGTGGAAGCATTGCACACGTCCTGACTGGCAACAAATCCGTTAGATAAGGTAGTTTTCATACACGGCATACTCAAATTGAAGCAAAACTCCAAGGTCCTGACAGGCAGCCCCAGAAAACAACAACCACAGCTCTTTGGTTTTTGCACTAGTTTAAACATGGTGGGTGTGTCATAAGTCTGGACGTAGATGATGTGCGGAAGCCCTGGCGTGCAAAAAAAAAAAAAAAAGTGAAACGCAAACCACAACCTTTTTGGTTACATACAGTTAGCCAAAAAGTATAACAAAAAAAAACCACATAAAAGTGGAATGCTTCAGAGGTCTTACAAATTGCAGCCTGCTTTGTCGTACAAGACGAGTTTCCCCTCCCATCTGAGTAGGCTTCATAAATTCATGCAATAAGACAAACAGGGCAATTGCGACCAATTTCATTCCCTAAGAATGCCAACAGTTACTACAGCTAGTAAGCACGTGTTTTGCTTTTTCTTTTGCTTTAAAGTGACACTCAAAGACTTTTTCTAAAAGTTGAGGAAGTGTTTTGTTGTTTTTATATTTTACAGTGATTTATATCTGTAGAGTGGATTTTTATTTTTATTTTTTTCCTGGAACGAATTGAGTGTTATCTTAGTTTTGGCATTACACTTAAAGGTGTAAGGAGACCCCGGAAGCTAACTGACATCGTCGTAGATATAAGCAGCGTTGTTTTATGTGTATTATATCTGGAGTACTTCAGTAAATGTCATGTACACCAAGTGAATGCTGAAAACGGTGTAACATCGTTCGACATGTCAAGAAGGAGAACACAACAATATGCAAATGGTAGCACTTAAAGCCACCAACATCAAAGTAGTCACAATGAAGCCCGCCACAAATAGAACAAAAGCGTTTGTCGCAATAAGACTCGGCCTGAGGGGGCGTCAGGGCCTGAACGCTTGCTGTTGATTCTTGTGGCGATAAGCTTGCTTTAGCGTCAACCAGCGCCTATGTACATATTGCAGTGGAGTGGATTAATCGCGCTAATTAGAATGCACTCCAGGCAACAAATGCAACATCTACCGGAATAATCTGAGAGAAAAGATCTCCACTCCAATTTATTCAACCTTGCCTTTGTTGTTGCTTTTTTTCCACAGGGGCTTACGCAGACGATCTGTTTTTGGTGAACGAGTGAGCGGCGGGTGTCTGGTGGCGGGGGGCTTCATGTGTCACTTCGGACCCATTGCCATTTCGAGGATGAGCTGCAGGGTGCCCCCGAGCAGGCACTACAGTGGTACCTCCAAGTTCCAACACCCGAAGGACGTATCTGGAATTTGACCCATATTTGGAAGAAAAAATATGCCCTAAAGTTCTCCAAAAGTTCGGAGTTCTAACCGTCATCATATCTGATGTCATTATATTGCCACAAAACTCCCTAGAACTCATGCCAGCCATAATCCACGGATTACTTTGTGCATATGTTTTGCGATAGCCTTCTTTATGATTATGGGCTACATAAACAAAATTTGACTTTGACTTGGCTTCAGAGAAAATAAAAAAAAATCAGCTAACACAGTCATGTTAGGCAGAGGTGAAGTGAGTGAAGTCCAGCTGTTTGTGCTTTTTGACAAAAAGAAGTACAGAGTGAAGTTGTAGACTGCCATGTTAGCTTCAAGCTAGCCACAGACTGGCTAGCTGTCATCCGGGATGTGTGTCAATTGTCAAAAACGTTTTATACAACCTGTCTTTGTTGTCAATGTGCTTATCTTGCTCCTGTGTTAGCTTATCACGTTTTTGATTAGCCCCCGTATGCTCATCACTTGTGATCAGAAGGGAGAATGTGTTATACATATGTGCTGATTATTTTTTATCATTCATAACTTTCACAAAATTGTAACGATTAGTTACCTACAGATGCGTACTACTATATGTTTTTGGCCTGTTTTTCTATCACCCTTCGTGAGGATGCTTCTTTTTTTGGATTAAGTTTCATGATAAACCAAAGAAAAACCCAACTAAAGGCTCGTGAAGGAGCATCACATTTAAGAGGCATATACTTTGGTCAAACTCAAAATGTGAGTGGTGTTGAGCATTTGAGTCCTAAATGGAGATTTTTAATTTTATTTTATACTTGTGTGACAGTTCATGTTAAAAAAAAAAAAAAAAAAAAAATTAAATGGACTCTGTTCATTGGATTATTCAATTAAAGAGTGCTCAAAGAGAGTTTTACAATGTGACAGTTTGGAAGCTAGAACGAATTATTCCAAATCCGGTATAATTTATGGAAATGGAATATTTTGCTTGCCCAAGACTAAGTGGGAATCCAAGCCTACCTGTGGGTGGGATCATGCCAGGGGACATGAGACCGGGGACCGTGTGGGGCATGATGTGAGGGTTCTCGGGCGATGTCACACTCTGGGTCCTCTTCGGAGGCCGACCGGGTCTGGAGCTGAAAGCAAACACAAGAGGCAGACGGATGAGAGAGTGCGGGGGTGGCAGCGAGAGCGGTGGTGGTGGGGGAGGTGGGCGACAGCGACGGCTGGTGTTAACATTTGGAGCGTTCCACAACGAGACAACACGCACTGTAAATAAATTCCCTTTCAAGGACAGTTGCTTTCTGCAGCTCAACATAATAGACTTCCATAACTAATTAGAGTACACGTTGAATTCATTTCCTTTTATTGAAGATCAACCACTTTTTGATGCATAATTCATAGCCCGTACCTCGTTACCTGTTTCTGCGCATTAATATCCCCCGCACTATTTGAATTGCCTCGTTTGCATATGCTAAAATCTTCAGCCCACGTCAGTCTCGAAATTACACATTAACTTGTTATAATTATTGCAGTCAGGGCCCTATTGATTTATGAGACTTTTAAAAACCAAATATGTGTAGTTGCAGTAATGAATGATATTTTAAGCTTCTTCAGGAAATTAAAAGGCAATGGCTGCCTTAGGAAATGTTCCGCTTGCTTGATTTAATGCATGCCATTGCTGGAAGGTGGTGTGACAGAGTGATTCAGACCTGTTGGACCACTCCGATGGGGGGGAGTTTTATTACAGCGAGCGAGGGGCACAGATCCAGCCGTGATAAATGACCCAGTCACCTGACTGAGGAGGGTGGAAAAGGCCTTGGAAGCAGATACCAGACTGACTTTCCACACGTCTCACTCATTGGCGTGTTAATACAGCTCCAAGTTGCAATCAATACCTACTTTGCTGGCTTATACTTACAAAGAGATGCCTACAGGGTGACAAAAACATATTATAAGGGGGCAAAGAGTCCATAAAGGTAGATGCTGGTGTCTCTACGGAAGATGAATTACGGCCGACTTGACACCAGTGACATATTGGCGTCATAAATTATTGAGCATACAATAGTCTGAGTGTTATCAGGCTACTAAATCCTATCCAAAATGAGATGGGCTTTTGTTTAAAATCTTTAAAAGATCAGTCAAAACCAGAACAACAAGGCGTTCATTTCAGAAACACAAAACAACGCCAGAAATCAAATTGGTGCTGGCCTATACTAGCCAACCCCGACCCCACTCCCCCAACCCCCGCCCTGCGCAGCACCCTCCATTCAAATGAATTATTTTTCTGTTAATAAGACTGCTACAGTTAAATGTGATGTATTGTGTTCCACTGGAAACCACAATTACATTCTCCCCTTGGAGATAAATGTTTGTTCTTGTGCTGATGAGAAAATTAGAAAAAAAGCAGGATAGGAAGGGTGATCCAACACATTATTTGACTGTTCACTCAGACTTGCGTCTCGTGGTATGAAATGGGGCAATGGAGGGAGGGGGGTATGTTTTCAGTTATCAAGTGCATGCGATGCTGTGTGCTATTTGTGTTTGACCGTTTTTTTTTTTTTTTTGTTTTTGTTAAACTACACTATAGCCAAAACAGGGTGCTTCAAACTTTGATGCATTCTAAACAAACATACTCACGTTTATTAGTCTGTTTTGCAACTGGAAGTTAACTAGATGTGGGTGTGGACTAAAGCAAGGTCTACATGACGAAAAATAAAAATAAAAATCAACTATCTTTCACCACTGCTGAATTTCGTATATCTGAGGGCCGTAACAGCAAAAAAATGGGAAAAAAAGAAGTCTATGAACAACAGGGGGATGCCAGACCCATGTGTTATAGTGCTACTACCACTAATATGTGTGCACTGCGCTCTTTATTCACCTACAAGGAAGACCAGTGCAGAAACGTGGAAATAAATGGAAGCGGTTGTCTCTGATTGGTTATGACAATTATCTGCCCCAACTTTGATTTGGTCATCAGTCTGACCCATAACGACAAGGTTGTCAATGTCAGTGCTGACGTCAGTACTCGAGATATGCTACTATCAATACCAGTATTGGTATACCAGTATACTGTATGTCTGTATCGTATCCGTACTCACAATATTTCCCTGATACTTCATTTGCCAGTGTGACATATACTTCCTGGTAGGAGCCATGCCAGCTGTGTCTGTATGGAGATACCTTAGGACACAAATGTTTTCGGCGACTGCAAATTATGCTCTGCAAAATGGATGATTTAATTCCTTGGGCAGCCACCGACCAGCAAACACCGAGTGTCTCGAGTCTCGTCGCTGCGTAAATTTGAACACCATTGCCCGAAAACCGAGACCCATGTTAAGCACAAAAAAAAAAAAAAAAAATACGCCCAGAGAGGAATTGGCCTTTTCCATTAAAGCTGTTTAAGTGACGATGAGCTTTTTTTTGTATTTTTTATTAAACACTTGTGGCTGAATCCAGCGCCCCTCATCAGCCATTGCGGTCGTTTGCCTTACAGCCCATCTCATTGCATTTCCCACAGGCAGCATCCGCAGCAAACGGCCTTAATAGTGGAGTTTATTCAGCCGTGTCTTGTGAGGTTTACTTACCTCGCTGCTTGCTAATAGAGTGCGCTTGCTCTCTCTGTCTGTCTGAATGTGCTGACTCTCATGGCGTGGCTCAAGAGGACTAAAAGCCAGCCCTCATCGAACCCTTTGAAGGGGGGCGGGAAAAAAATAGACAAGCGAGCGAAGTGGCGAGGGAGCGAAAGTGAGAGGAGGGCAGCAAGCGAGGAGTGGGGGGGGGCAAGTGCCCGCTCAACCTGGGAATGTCTGGAAATGTAATTCCTATTTCTATATGCCTCTTTGATCGGAGGAGAGGGAGCGATCGCGGACAGTTTTGCTGTCATCACTTTCACTCGTTCTCTGGCTGAATTATTTATGAAGACCTCAATGGAGGCTACGTGACGGCTAAAAGGCTTTTTGCCAACAATACAAAAAGCAAAAAATGCTTCTCAAATGGACAAAAAAAACTGATGTTAAAGGATGTGAACTTTAGTATGAAAAAAAAAAACAGGTAAAAGTGGTTTGTCAGCTTGTACGCATACAAGCTGCCAGTGAAAGTCGCACAAATGTACTTTGTAACCTAGCATGCGCACATCTGTGACGGTCAAGCTAAGTGACACAGTGCGTCCGCAGAGGAACTCAACCTGGCCTCCAACAATAAAAGCGCCAAGCTATTTATCAAGCAGCAGATGCTGACTTCCCTAAATAGCCTGGCACAGAAAAAGGCCCCAAAGTAGGCCATTATTGCAGAACAACTGAATTCATGCAGGCTTGGAATTTTTAAACCCATTTTGTGTGTGTGTTTTTACCTGATGAAAAACATAAAGCAGTTTTTCTCTCTTTTTCAGATTGATCAACTTTCAGACAAAATGAGCAGTTAATTATGAGACTGTAGAAGAGCTTTTTAGGAGACAAACACTGAAATACGTTGTTCACAGATATGTTGCTTAATCTACATTAAGAAGTTTTCGTTTTGATCTCAACAAGAGTTTCTCTTTGGCTCATCACAACTGATGCAGTATCGTGAGTTTTCAGTCACTGCAGTGAGACAAAATGAGTACATTGTTGCAAACTGTTAATTTTTTTAAAAAAGCAATCGGTATGTATTAAAGATTTCCCTCAACGTAGAGAGAAACCATTGTTGTAATGTCTAAATCTGCAGCACTGACGTTTTGGGTGACACTCATTGAGGCCTGATGTTGTAGTTATGCTCTCAGCTGCTATTAAGATTTTCTGTGCCACTCTTGCATATACAGTTGTAGGAAATATACTGTAGGTTGCCGTTTATCAATAATATCAATAAGCAGAATTTTTCATTTTACTTTTACAGCCCATTCATCATTTTCATCAAGTCTGAAGTGTTTACGGAAAAAGATACAATATATAAAAGTGGGAGGTGACTAGTAAAACAAATGATTTCAGTCTTTATTTACGTTCGAGCTGCGAAAGGATATTTGAGGGCCTCACATCTCTGCTGGCTTCAATTAAATAACCCAAATAGGCCCCGGCAGCAAATATGCGATGTATCACTTTCTTTGTTTTGCTGCCGTCGCCAAAAGAAAATAACAATGAACTTTCCCTGAACCTGACCCCCTATAATGGTGCGGCCTTGTGTTGACCCAGCAGAGTCGCCGGGAACCCGATACTCGCCAACACACTACGCCGCAGCGGGCAATCGGATTACACGGGGCCCAACATGAGTCCAATTTCAATGTCCCGACGCAATAAAAGCCCCGATAATTGCATTCACGTTCTCACCCCGGTTTACAGGAAGTGATAGGCGGAGAATATCGCGAAAGGGGACGGAAACGGCGACTGGGATCTCATTACGCAGCGCGCCGCTAATGCAGTGATTACGATCGGTTATAAATCAATCGATAATGTTGAGCCCAAGTGAGCGTGCCATCTTTGGTGGATTTTGTTACACACATCTGCCGCCCTCCCGTCTTTTGGAATCCAACCTGATTATGTCAACAGAGATGGTAAAATTATTTTCCGGCGGTTCTGATAGAGCCATTAACCTTTTATCTGGGCTTTTGTTTGACGTGCGTAAAAGGTAGGCATGAAGATATTTATTCCATTTCCGCTGCTCGTTCGGCCGACAAACAAACGAGTGAATCATTCCATGTGTAAACAAAAGGCCTCTGCAGGTTTCCGCCAATCAGACCTTATAAAATATTAACCCAATGTCATTGCCCTTTGAAAATCTCTCACCTAGAATTCCCCTAATTGTTCTTTTTCTTTATCTCTCCGACGCAGAGAGTAAATAAATTAACAAAATAGCTTTTATCGCCGCGAGTAACCTTTTAACTGAAGGATTATCTGGGGTTTATTTTTCATTTCTCCACCAGCGATAGCGGAGCGCGCACCCATTGATTGGTTCGGCGAGGTGGTGACCAGCCGTGAAAACAAGGTCTTATTGATAAAACAAAGCATCTCCTTACCTTTTTTTTTTTTCTTCAAAGTGCCGGGTCAAGCAGAAACACAGACGCTTCGGACCGTCAGGGACCGGAATTTGCTGACTTTATGAGCGTTTATATATATTTATTTTTGTATGTATTTGCTCAGGTCAAACAGTTTAAAAACTCCCC